TGCATTTATGTATGTATGTATGCATGTATGTGTTAATGTAATGTAATGTAATGTAATGTAATGTAATGTAATGTAATGTAATGTAATGTAATGTATTGTATTGTAATGTAATGTAATAGAACAGTATAGAATAGAATAGATTGGAATGGAATAGAATAGAATAGAATGTTTATATATATATATACATATACACACGCATACTTATATATATATATGTGTGTATATATATATACATAGAGCATCCTACAACACCCAAAGTCCGGAAAACCTCAACTCGAAATCCGAGATGCGAGACGACAAAGCCTAAATCCGAGCTAACCCCTGAACCCGAATCCCTAAGCCCGGAACCCAGAGGGAAAAATCCAAGAACCCCGTAAGGCCCAGGAGGCTCGCGAAGCGTTGGAGGCGCAGGTGGTCAGCGGAAAGGAGTGGGTTTCAGGAAATTCGACTTCAGGGACATCCTTAATGTGTTGGAAGGTATATGAGAGCATCAAAAAGCTAGGGAACGGTACTTCGGGCCCTTGTGGTGACGATATAAGTACTGTTTGCTTCTACGATTAATCTTAGTTCTTATTGTTGTTGCATGTATTACCACCTGCTTTCTGCTGTTATTCTGAGCATTCAGTATGAAATAGGGGCACTTGGTGTGGTGAAACTCCCAGGAGGAGATCGAAGCCCTGCGTCGGAGGGTTGAGTCCTTGGAAGACGACCTGCAGAGCGCGCTTCAGAGCTCGAAGCGGGACGCCGGCATCATCGGGGAGCTGCAGAAGAGTATCAAGAAGTCGCAGGAGGCTTTGACGGTTGAAGCCCAGAAGAGCTGTGCTGCACAGGAGAAGCTTAGCAAGCTTGAAGAGAAGGTGCAGGAGGCAGCTGACAAGGAATCCTCATCTGTGAAGATGTATGCCGCCCGAGAGAAGGAGTATCAGGACAAAATTCGCGAGCTTGAAGATTCGCTTCGCAAAGTGTCCCGGAAGCTCGCCGCAGTTGAAGAGGAGAAAGCACAAGTTGCAAGAAAGGCCGAGAAGCAGCAGAACCCCCAAGAAGAAGTCAAGAAGTATAAGGACGAAGTCGTCATCTTAAAGGACACGCTCTCTCGCAAAGAGGAAGAGATTACCAAAAAAGATGCCCAAGTCGAGAAAACCAAGGCGGTCCTCAAAGAAGTTGAGGGAGAGAACCGACGCTTGCAAGGCGAGCTCGAGACGGCAGGAACGAACAATCTTCGTCTGCAAGAGGAGGTCGGCAAGCTCAAGGCTTGTGAAAAGGCAGCAAAGGAGAAGGCGGAGGAAGATTTCGTGAAGCTCGGCTGGGACAGTGAAGGTAAAGTGGAAGAGGTCACAGACTTCGGCTTCCAGAAGGTGGATAGTGCTTGAGCATCAGTTCACCCCCCCGAAATGGAAAGACGGCGGCAGTGGTGCATCGTATGTTCGTAGTGTGTGACAGCATACTACCATACTACCAAATCACAGTTTCGTAGACGTAGACATGTGTCAGCAGGCACATCGCCGTTGTTGGTAGCCGGGTGACTGTGTGCAGTTCCTCTCCCATTTGCCAGCACCGTGTTCAAAGCAGCGCACTCGGCTTTGGCAGCCTTCTGCATGTTCCGTAATTACATAATATAATACAACATAATATAATATAATATAAATGACGAAGCCCACAGCCTGCAGAACCAACTTTCCAGGAAGCTCATCTGATGCAGAACTTTCAATTCCTCAAGTTGCATGTGGCCAGCTTGGAGCTGCCGTCTCTTCTGCCGAAATGATTGAGAATCCACAGTCACACGCTAGTTTAACCTGCTGTTTCTTCGGACAGAGGCGTTGTTTCATTTGCAAAGAGCTGGGGCGATGTTCAAAGGCCCTGTGGCTGCAATCCTGGGTGAGTGTCTTTCGCGCACTTTGCCCGCATCGACTAATTACCTTGAAATGACTTTGAAATCTACATGGTGCACACTTCAGTGCCGAAGCAGGCACCTGCCAAGAGGCTGGTACAGGCACCTCTGGCAGGCACCGCACGGAAAAAGAACACCCTTGCGTTCACGGGGGAGGCGTGTCAGTTTCTGCAAGAAGCCGAGTGTCGCGATTCCTGCTGTGTGCTACATGTTCAGCGAAGAAAGTTTTATGCACCTGTGCTGCCAGCACAATTGCACGCACCTGTGTACACTATAGTGCTAGTAGTAACACCTGTTGCCTCTCTCGGCGCTCAGGCGTGCTTCGGGCGCGAGCAGTGGTCACACATCCCGCGGCTTTTGCAGTGCGCAGATGCGGCTGCGTTGCGGTGGTCGATCAAAGAGCTTCTGCTGGATTTGCAGTTTAGTCCATAAGTGCTTCGATGGTTCTCGTATTGGTGTTTGAATGCTGCTGGCAGCTTAATTAAGCCTTTGACCTTCGGGATTCCTCAGAGTTAAAAAATCCTTGTTCAGCCTTGTTCCCCGGCTTCAGAAATTTCAGGAGTGGCACTGCCGCGATTTCTGTTTCCGGAGCCCTGAATCCCCAAGCTTTCCAACCACTCAACTTCACTCAATGGTTCAGACATGTACAGTGCTACAGGCCCTTTGCGATTCAAGTCGGGTCGCTTTGGTGCTTCAACACCGTTTCCTGGGCAGCTCAGGCATTTGAGGCATCGGAACAGCTCTTGGATGAGTGACCCGTTTTGGCTGGTGGGAACAGCTCAGACAGTTTGAGAGGGGGCAAATCGTTCCAGCCATGCAAGCATGTTTCTTGATTTGAGGCCTAGGGCCGCCTGCAGCATCAGTCTTCGGCTGCAGTTTTGTCGCAGCTCTGGAATTGCTTTCAGTACAGCAAGCCAGTGTTGAAACCATGTGACTATGATGTGCAGGCAGCCCGATATACAGCCTCCGATTTCCCTGCAAGGTCCGCAGCAGCAGAGAATATGATGTGGGAAAAATGCGCACGCCGCTGACTCTTCTTGTGATTTACTATGACTACGACGACGGCGGCCGCTGCTGTTGTAGCACTGCGGCCGTCAACAAGACCGGTTTTGCCAATGCTACCGCTGCCACCACCCTCACCATAGTACCTTAGCACTGATGTTGCCGTTGCGGCTGCTGCTACCGGAACATCAACAACAGGGACAACCTTGCCTGTCCCGACTGGGCACGCACTCACACTTTCCAAACACTCATTTGGTTGCTTTTTGCCCGCCCGCCTCATTATGATTACCATTCCTGGCGTCGATTCGATCATCATCATCCTGGGTTTTGCTCTCGCCCGAACTACTATTTTCACTCTGGCTCTCGCTGCTACCGGTGGATGCGGGGTGTGTAGGATCGGAGCGGAAGGATGCATGCAGTGCGACCCAAGTATCAGCATAGGCTTCGTCAAAAGCATTGCAGCATGACCCTTGGCAACCGTTGGCTACAGCCCAGGAGAGCCCAGGACGGGATGTGTTAGGCACCATGAGGCTTTGAAACTACCGCGTAGAGTGCTGGAAAAACAGGTTTACTCATGGCAGCATGTGAGGAGGGTGGGGTGTGTTCTCGAATCACCGGAGCCGTTTTGGGATCCCTTCGGACCTATATATAGTCCTTTGCTGAAGGCCTATATCTTTTAGGGAACTCTTGTTTAGAGCTTCGCTCCGGCAGACTTCCTGCAGGCGATTTGCTGCTTCTTTTCACCGACGGGCTCACAGATAACCTTCACTGGCACGAGGTGTGGTTCTCCGTGTTCGAGAGAGATGCAAGCAGGGTTTCGTCTTCTTTTCAGAGTGCATGGCTGGGAGTGCTTGTGAAACTTTTGCATGTCGTAGCATGAGAGTCGTCACTGCTTTGTTATCATGAGTAGTCAGTCTGATAATAATAATAATGAAAATAAGATAATAATAGTAATAACAATACTACTACTAATAACCTAATAATAATAATTGCAGCAATCACCCATTCTCTCTTGCTGCATCGTCGAGGTGGTGCGAAAGGTGGATGAGGTCCTGGAGTGGAAACTAGGCCCGGCGCTGCATGCATTCAGTGCCCTTTCTTGAGGTTTTTGGCTGTGGGTGTGTTGGGTTTCGGGCTTTGCTCCTACGGCCCGAAACCCCGCAGTAAACCCTAAACCCTAAACTTGGCATAGTTTTGCATTTGGGGCGCACTAAATGGGGCAAAGGTTTTTTTTTTGCGTGGCTCTGAGCTGGCGGCTGAAGCCCACATTGTATTGTTAACGATTTGAGGCTCAATATAGGGGTCAGAAGAATGACTCTATGCCCGCATAATCTCTAAATAGTTCCGGTGTGCCTTCTTCTAATTGATAAGGCACCTATTCTAGCAGAATCGGGTTAAACCTGAAGGTTGGCCGTTTACAAAATTTGACACTCAACTGCTCCATCGTACTTGCTACTGCTCACACGGAGTCAAGTGTGGGTGGCCCACTGCATGCCCATGCGAATTCTTGAATGTGCAAGACCCTGATCGGTATTGCAGGCAAAACACGCAAATCGCAACAGCACACGCCGAGTTGCCGAATTTCTTCAATGTTTCTAGAGCATAATACAGCTAGGGTTTAGGGTGTGGGGTCCCTTTAAATTAGGCTTTGCAAGAACGGCCCGCTGTCCCCATTCAGGCCAGGGCGGGCATGTACCTCCCGAAGATGCTGCTGGGCCACGAACTTCGGGCTTGTGGTCTACCTTTAGTCTGACGTGGAGCGCCGCATCGCATCAACACTTTTGGTGACGTCTGACACTGACGACCGCAGCGGCGACGACGACGACCACCACCACCACTACTACCCCGCTTCCACTGATTCCTTTGCTACAGCTACAACCACTGCGAGTACCACCACTGGGTTTTCAGGTTGAGTGGTGCCAATACACCTACTAGTTCTTCTAGTTTCTGTTCCTACGTCGAGAGACAGATGATGCCCGTCGTTCTCATCCAGGCATGACCTATCAGAGTGTTACGAGCCGACTCTTGCAGTTGTGGAACTTCCATCAGCCTCCGAGACGAGGGGAAATCAAATCTGGCTCGTGTAACCAGTTCCAGAACTCTACTGTTTCTACTTCAGCAATTCCGCCGTGCGAGTTTCTACAACTATCACCGACATCCGTCTGGATGCGGCGAGCCCCAAAAGCCGAATTGAACTCTGGCGCAGCCTCACTGCGTGAGGACAGGGAGCCCAGACCCTATGTGTGAGACTATCAGTGATTCACGAACCGCCCAGGTTGCACAAGCCCTTGCCGCAATGGCCGAAGTGCGCTCCCATGATACGCAGGCTGGGAGCATGCAATCGGTTTCGGGTTGGAGGCCGAGGAAGCCCAGGAGGAAGCCACACATGTTCCCTGGCATCGGCCTAGCACTTTGCTTTCACCCTGCATCTATATGGATATGATGCACGCACGAAGTGCCAGTCGAATATGGGGTTGAGGGTTGTGGCGCCCTCGGGTTGGGATGGGAGGGCAGGGGAAGGCGCTAGAAACATATTCGTATGGCATACGACGGCCCCAATACCTTCTAGTGATCGGAAGCCCCCATCAGCAAGCTCATGGTCCTGCAGAACTGCTTCTGGTCTACAGGAAAGTGTTACTCTGTTATGGGTTCGTGCAGCACTGGCCCTCAGAGCTTTGACAATTTCTTAGAATAGGGTTGCTAAGGGCTTTTAATCTATCCACAATGTACCTGGGTGTTCCATTCCAATTAATGCAGCCCTTGTCTTCCGCTAAACCAACCCACCCGTCCTTGAGAGAAATAGGGTTTCGAGTTGGATCCCCCAAAGTGGAACTCAGTTTCTGGCTCCCATGCCCAGCCATGGGCTTACTGGTTGCTATGTCGCAGTTGGGATTAGCTCATAAGTGCCCTGCGACCGGTGGTCTTCGTTATCAACTATGGACTATGGCCCAGTCCTTCATCCTGGAAGCTGCGGCTTTTTTCTTTCAATAGTACAAACGACCTCCCAAAAATGTGTCGAAGCCACTCGCAGCAGTGCTCCTTCGGAGACCCTAGGTCAGTATGCCACAGTATACCTCAAACTTTCTTCTAGGTCGCCTCCATATCAAACCCCTCCAAGCTTGGAGGCCGGACAGACCCCACCAGAACCGAAAAGTTTTCGGCAGCTTCTTGCTGCTCTTGGATACACCTCATGACTTCAGGAAGTCCGGATGCTGTCAGCCTTGAAAACAGGGAACCTGAACAATCAGTATAGCGATAGGCGATAGCCTTGAAACTCCCTCAACCCCTCAAACGCCAAACCTCTGCAACAAAAGATCTTGAACCGCGTAGATTCGTAGATGCTTCCAGGACTTTGGGTTTTGGCTGGCTAGGACGACGCGAACTCCTGTCAGGCCAACACTCCTTTTGCGCAATCGGCTCGCAGAAACAGGCGCCATCCGGCAGTTTCAGAACTTAAGGGACCCTTGTTGACCCATATGT